ATGTTTACATCAGATAATGTTACAATATAATAATAGTGACTGTATACAATAAAAATAGTTTACTCAAATGTAGTTGTGATTAGTGTTAAAACTGGTAGGACATACAAAAATATTAGGCAAACAAACGCAATATATTTACCACAGTAGGAACATGAAATGTCCTAAATACTGAAAGTATTCACACATGAAACTGAAGGTTCTAGGTTCCATTTTCGCTTGCGGGGTTGTGAATGGGCGCTACTGAGGAATCCTATACTAGAATCGAACAGCCGTTTAGTGCTCCTAGGTTTTCGATGGTGTTTTGACGTCATGATTTGAAATAAGTTTGAAATATTGGACACCAGCTTAGTGCTTTTAAGATAATGAGCTCACTGTGATGTATGTTCTAGATTCGACTTTGTATAGTGAAGAAGAATATGTATGTCTTTGTAAACATATTTCGTATCAAATAACTATAATTAACATCATAGATCAGTGTTAAATTGGCTGAACAATAAATTTACTGAAGATTTTGTTTTCGGTTTCATTTATCTTCAATAAAATTTGATTTTGATTATTTTCTACCAAAGAAACAGAGATCAAGATATTCAATAAAATGTTACGTAACTATTTAAGTTTAATAGTTTAAAGAGAGCAAGAGTGGTGTGGGTTACTTATATCTATACAAGTAGTATATAATGATGGTCAGGCATAGAATGTAAATATTGGATGATTATGTAATGAACTAACTGAAAATAGATTAATGGAGCCGGAGCCTTTGAAATAGAGGTCCAATCCACAAGGCAGTAGAGTAACGTCAGGAGATGCAGCCCTATGGTAGTCGGTGACCAACAATAGGTTCATACACCATTTCTTCACTCACGATTCTGGAGCCTATGTACACCATTGGTTTAAAATAAGTACTTTCCAACTCTCCTAGATGAATCATCCACATCCACCAATCCTTTCTAAGCACCGATTGTTCGTCTTTCGTCCTTTCAACTTCGTAAACAACACCTCCGCCAAGAGAAGGCAATGAGTTTGAATTTCATGGTAGTGGCTTTATACACGTAGCCATATGAGAGCATTTGAAAAGGGAGAGCTAATTCTTCCCACCCTCGACCATACTAGATTATTTGAAGGCACCTAAGAGAATGAAATGAATTCATATTATTCTACATTAATCTTCATTCTTACTCTCTTTATTATAAATAATAGGAACAATGTGTATTCATTTTCAATAGTTGACAATATATTTATGAATTTCATACTTCTTTTTTAGGTATTTCCAAGTGTTTAACATATAAAAATGTAGACAAATATTCATGTAAAATTCATTGTGTGTGTGTGTGTGTGTGAGTGTGAGTGTGAGTGTTCGACTCATGTTTTGGAATTACCTGCTAGAACAAGTTACTCACTGAAATGTACCAACTCATGAATTATTTGAGATTTTCTTGTTTATTAAAATGATGATTAAGTATACTAATTTCAATAGAACAAACAAACAAAGAAAGAAACATGAACAGTATATATGATATATGAATTGTGTACATTAGTCTACTCCTGGCTGAATATTCCATACATGTTACTCAAGAAAAAAAGAACAAGAATTTGAACATGTTCTAAAGTGAATTTCATTAATATCAGTGAAATCTTTACAGAGATTAAAATAAACTTTTAATTACTTATTTACTTACTTACTTACGCCTGTTAATCCTCGTGGAGGAGCATAGGCTACCCACCAGTATTCACCATCTAACCATGTCCTGAGTAATCCCTTCCAGATCTTTCCTTTCTCGACATAATGTGTTCTTTGGCCTTCTACTTTTCCACTTCACTTCACGATTCCAAGTTAGGGTTTGTCTTGTGATACAGTTTGATGATTTGAGTAATGTATGTCCTATCCACTTTCATCATCTTGTATTAGTGAATGTAAACTGTTAAGTATAATCAAGAGAATTTATTTGGTATCTGTAATGTAGTTCTGATCAATGTTGTATGTTCAGTTTTATTTTACGGATTGATTGTTCATTTTAATAAATCAATAAAACAGTTCATTTTTCCATTGAACAATAAGGTATGTAAAAAAGGAATGAATTGAGCGAAGAAATTTTTTTTCAATTAGTTTTTCATCATGGCTCTACACTAATATTTTTTACCATCTCGGTAATGTATGAGTTTAGAGAATCGATTTGGTTAAGAGCGAAGCGTTTGAGAGTCTATATGTATCTATCGTTTCAACTGCTCCTGTGGAGCCAGTTACATATGGTGTACAATTCGACAGGTCCGTCACCGCATTACAGAACACCATCCAACATGGCTAAGCAAAGGACAGGTGAAAGTGATTAAAAGTTCTATTCTCTCTCACTTGGTTGACACAGGTCATCAAGTCGAAGTGAATAAAGCTTTTAAGGTTATCTACAATATTCCATCAAATCTACCACATGGTTTACGGTTGCGCCTTTTGCACATTGCGGAAGCCATCGCAATCCATGTTCACAAACCTGACCTTTGCATCCAAAAGAAATTCGTACAGCCACTTTCTCTACCCTGGCCTTCAGTATAACATTTCCGTCAGAAGAACTATTTTTCACACTTCTTCCATTTTTTATTTTAATTTTAAAGTTTTTGTAATTTTGTTTCTATCACTTTTGAGCCTTATAACTTCTCAACATTCATCTCTTGATTCTTACGCAACTACTATCCTATTGACCATCCGGTAAAATTCTATTCCTTCATTGTTTCTTACATTACGCAACATAGCAACTTATTGATTACTTTGAGTATTAATAATCCTCTCTCTTCCAATTACTGAATGTTAATTTAAAGGTCATTATGTAATTATTACGTAACGTATCCACTCGATGAGTATTCTATTATTATTGTAAATCATACTTAGATATATTAGTGTAGAGCCATGATGAAAAACTAACTGAAAAGGAATTTCTTCGCTCAATTCGTTCCTTCTTTATTTACCAAATGGCAAAATGGGAATTTTCACAATAAGGTATGTGTTCTATTTCAATAGAACAATGAGAAGAAATTTATAAAAAGGGACTAATGGCTTTATATGATATATCCGGGCGAGAATTATGAATGGTAACTTTTGAGAACTATTTATAGGGCAATATGATACATATATTTTTACTGTATAATTATTAAGTAACTAAACTATTCATATTCGTGTTCCTCTTATTATAAGCTTTATTTTCATCCATAAACAATTATCATACGATTGACCATTATTCAGTTATGCCCAATCTATTAATTACAGTCTCCCACATTCACAACCACTTGTGGCTAGAACTTGTACAAATGTTGTTTCCTATTTTGTGGTTTGATGTGGTCTGTTTGGTTTCGTATATAAACCCAATATATTTGAAATGCATGATTCATATTGCAGAGGCTGAGATTTGTGTTCTGAACTCAACAAGCAAGGCTAGGCAAAGAGAAGGACCGATAAGGACTCTAGACTTCTCTTGTTCAGGTTTTATGCGTCATTGGTCGAGTTGATAAATTACTGTTCTCTAATTGGCAATATTTAACATTAACAATTTGTCTATATCTTTGTAAACGTGTATGCTTGAATCTTATTAACTACCTTACCTTGTTGTGTTTTACTTTACCTTGTTTCGCTATGCCTTGTTTCAATTTGACTATAAATTCACTTCTGTATTTGCTCGTTCACACACATTAACCTCACTGCTGAAAAAAATCGCTCAATGTGCTTGTAACTTTGTTATCTGTGCTGTCCCTTAATTAAACTGTAATCACCGCTTCTTATCGCCTTCTGAATTCAAACACCGTTGGGGATTTATATACTAACGCTTATCAAAGTGATTGATTAACGAATTCTAAGCCACTATAAATCCATGAAAATATATCTATAATACAAAGTAAGGCATTTTGGAATTCATAAGTTGTCTCTCCTCTTTGTATGAAACTTTAATGCATTATCAGTTTATAGTTCTCTGCTAATTAAACAGACCATCATATATATACTGTGAACAAGTCAATCAATTACTTTTATTACCCAACTAAGATTTGTATTAAAATGTTAAATTTAGCAAAGCTCATTACAGTAGAGTAATTTCTGATTCAGATAACTTGTATAGTATGTATGTAAAAATTATATTCAACCAAGTCACTATAAGACATTAAGGAGGAAATTATATTGATGAAACATTTCATGTTTGATTATATTTCCTTGAAAAAACTTTGTCACTTACTTATTTTCAGAAGGGGTTTTGTGGAGATTTTATTCATTTCTATAGCTGAAATCATGAGTCCATTGAAGCTAGACCACCACGGAAAACCTGGAAGTACTGAACGGCCGTTTTGTCTTAGTATGGGACTCGCGGGGTTCGGGATCGTGGATGCGCACTGTTGAGGAGTCCCACAATAAGACGAAACGGCCATCCAGTGCTTCCAGGTTTTCAGTGGTGGTCTAACATCAATCGGTTCATGATCTCAATCAAAAATCTAACAATCTCTACAACCCCTAAACTGATAATCACTTGGTATTGTTTTACATGAATCTTCCCATTGATGTTTAGGACTTCAATTGATCGGTCTCTTTACACTTATATTAGATCTCTTTCAAATTGTCAATTGATCATGGTGACTAAAATTAGAAATTTAGGAAATTTTTACAAGATTTTCTCGTATCTAAGTAAATTATTAATAAAATAGCCGAGCGTATGATGGACATACATAAGGGGAAACAAATTAAAAATTGCCTATGTACAATCCATGGATTAACCAATGAAATTTATATTCTATAAATGATAAAATACATTTTTACTATCTCACTTACACTTCATTTGATGGTTCACAAATCACACACCCACTCGCATGATTAAAAACTCTGGACAAACATATCCGTGTGTTTACTACGACTAAGATACAATTTAAATAAAACGTAAACGTTCTCTGTTTACAATCATATTCTCACGATTAACACTACAGATACTATCCTGTCAACAACAGCAACAACAAAAAAAAGTCCAACAGAATTCATAATGAAAGTATTGGGAATTTGTATTGTAGTTACATTAGTATTCAGTGGAATAAATTGTGTAAAAAGTAAGTATGTTTAATTGTTTCATCATATCATGTCCGGATGATTAAATGAGAGATAGTCTCATTGTTTGTGTAAGATGTTAGTATTATAGACTAAATTGTTTTATCGGTTCTGATATATCACAAGATAAATGATCTTACAGAAGTCAGTATCGGTACCATATTCGAAAAACAAAGTCTAATCAGACAATGGTAAATGAGCAATAAATGTGGTGTTCCTGATCAACACAATTCAATGAGGCTGTAATACATGCTCTATTGATAATTCTGAAGCTAAAGAAGATTCTTGTGGTCATTGCTTAACGAATCTAAACTTAATTCGTTGTCACATAAAATAAATTTAGAAATATAGATGTTTTAAAATGTTACATCACATGTTAATTTTTTTTCGGAGTGGCCGAGCGGTCTAAGGCGCCAGACTCAAGAGTGTTCTTCTGGGTGTTCTGGTCCACGATTTAGGCGTGGGTTCGAATCCCACCTCCGACACATACATATTGACCTTTATTAGACAACCATTAAGGAAAAATATCTAATGGACAACTGCTTTGTCCTGATATGCAACTCCCCGTTAAAGTTGTAAATGAGCATTGTTGTGGAGTAAACAATTAGCATTCTCAGTACTTCCCAGTTTTCAATAGTTTCCTAACTTCGATCAATTCCTGATGAAAAAAAATGCAAAATTAAATACACTAGATCTCTCTATAGTGCATATAGAAATTAAGAGTTAAGTACAATGAATATAAGTATTTTGTTGATGTAGTGAACATTGTATTAATCATAACTTAAAATAAGCCTTAAGAATCACAACAATTATTTGAACCACTGACACAACTATCTCGACGTAGTTCTAACTTCAGAACTAGTGAGTTAACGGTTACAGTTTAATAAATGTAGTGTATTGTTTAAGATGGATGAAGGTGACTGATGATTGGTTGGAACTTAGGTTTTGTGCTGGTTGATGCGTCGTCAGAATTTCTTAGCTGTTGTTTGTGGGACAAATGACTCTAACAATATCTGAGTGATTTTGCTGAGCAATAGATAAATCTTAATATCAGAAAGGGTTTTGTGAAGATTTTATTAATTTCTATAGTTGAAATCATGAGTCGGTTGAAGCTAGACCACCACGGAAAACCTGTAAGCACTGAAAGGCCGTATAGGACTCGCGGGGGTCGGGATCGTGGATGCGCACTGCTGAGGAGTCCCATACTAGGACGAGACAGTCGTCCAGTGCTTCTAGGTTTTCCATGGTGGTCTAGCTTCAATTAACTAGTGATTTCAACTATCGATATACCGTAATGTTCAGATTTTCTGTTGGTTGCTTTTAGCTTGTGAATATGAGATTAAGCGAATTGCAATGTTACATCACTGATCATCATTGATACATCAGAAACCTAGTAAATTAAAGTAATGAACTGGAAAAATGTATTTTATCTGAGCTGTGCATTCTAATAATGTGGTCATACATGTGATTGTTAACTCATTTATAAAAAATAATGAAAGTCACGTCAATGAAGGATCAAACAGACAAAAAGGGATCATTGTAAATAGGAGAGAAAAAATTAGCATGATGTGAAAAAAATAGGATGCTGTCAAATCATTCAATAAAGGTAGAAAGTAGAAAATGACGTTTGCCGATAGTTAAAATGAGTCATAGAATAGACATCAACCATACCTTTTAAAGTGTTGTGCAGTTATTGTCAAGAACGAATTCATAGATTTGCACAAAGCTTGACTGTTCGCAAATTCAAACCCCTTTATATGTACAGTGAGTGTGCCATGCCTATCTTCAGACTATTTTACTGCTTAGGGTGGTGTGACAACTTCCTACTCCATATTATATTAATTGTTTCCTCTCTTTTATTTACAAACAGCGCTTACCGTTTATTTGCACTTTTATTTAATTGACCTTTAAATGATTTTCATATAAAGTGCCTCAACAATTACATTCGAAAGTTCACCATTTTTTATACTCAGTAGCTAAGTGAATAATGTGATGGCGTTTGAAGCGAATGGTACTGAATCCTAGTCCTGGAGTGAATACCAACTCCAGCGCCTTCGATCTCACGCGCGAACGCTTAACCTCTAGAGGTTTTCAATGGTGGTCCAACAACAATCGGTTCATGATCTCAATCAATAACCTTTAGTTATTAATCTTTTTTTCACCAGATCAATGGTAACATTTAAATGATATTCAGGATACATGCCTTCATGAAGCATAGTTGTAGATTTGTATTTGGATGTTTTGTATAAAAATCAAGTATACCAATTGTACCTTATTGCCGAACTCCTCAAAAATGACACTATGCTTTTTGTCTTTATATATATTAATGTAATAAATTACAAGTACTTTCTATTTACCTGTAACACAATCTTCACTAAAAGGAGTAGATATTTTAGTGTATCATAGTAGGACTGTGGAGATTGTTGAGTTTCTATTGATATCATGAACCGATCAATGTTAGACCATCACAACCCTATAGTGATAATTATCATATGCTCATTAGTGACTAGCTTCGAGATGGAATTGTAGGAGTTCTAGTGAGAAGCCGTGATCAGTGGAGCTAATCCGTGTCAGTTAGAGACAGGTATCTACCTCAGACAATGGGAGCTGGTCGCACAAAATTGTGGATTAGTTGAAGTTAGACATTAGCACAGTTGGGTGCCGGCTCAGTGGTCTAGAGGTTAAGCGTTCGCGCTATAGGCATGGGTTTCTGGGTCCGAGTCCTTCATATGGGGTCGTGGATGAGCACAGCTAGAACGAAACGGCCGTTCGGTGCTTCCAGGTTTTCAATGGCGGTCTGACATTGGTTGATTCATGATGTCGATTTTTGTGTATTTTTGTTATTTTCATTCCATTCTACCAACCTAACTTTAAACTAATTCATTAAGCGAATAATATTAGTAGTCACTCTAAATTGTCTGTAGAAATCGGAAATTGTGACGTATCCTAGCATAAATTTTTAGATAAGTTAGGTTTTTTTTACCATAAAATTCATTCTATTTCAGAAGGGTGTTTAGGTTTTTTTCATATCAGAGACTCACATAAGGTTGACATTTAGGAGGACTGAATGTTGAATTACTCAAAACAGACCATCGTTCAATGCTCTCTATGAACTAATTCATTACGAATAAACTAAAACAGGAAGAAACTGGTACGCATACAGTAAGGTGGTTTGCATCTTTAAAGAAAGTGTTTTTATAGTAGATAACAAGTAATATACGAAAAAGTAAAAAAAGGAAAGAGGAGGAGTACCTTTTGAAGTACGCCAACTTCGAATAAGAAAGGATTGGGTTACTTTTCTTCATACTTGATATACCCTCCTTTCCAAAATCTAGTGACATAGACAGTCATCCAGCTAACATGTTTAATAACGTAAAACTTAGAGCCGGATCAAAGGCAGAAGTTTAGTCTTGAAAATTGTAGTGAATGTACTCTCCACTTTTACAATCCAAGTAATTTTTTTATAAAGCATATCAACTGTAGAATCCAGCGACTTCAGACATTTTGAAGCATCAATTTCACTAAAATCTTGGGATACGACTTTCTCTAGAACTTTGAAAAATCGGATATACTTGTCATTTTCTTATGACCAGTTAATTATCACGTGATAAGATCACTAATTAGAATACTGAATTGTTTGACCTTGGCACTGCGCCGAACCAATGACACGTCAACCGACAAGAGCAACCTAGAGTCAACTCTGAGTCTTTATTGTTTCTTTTCAAATATCCCTGCCTGTTTGAGTCCAGAACACAATCCCAGTCTCTACTGTATGAATCATGTACTTCGTACATACGCAGTTTATATATAAGCAAATCAGACTGCATCGTACGATTAAATAGAAAATATCAATTATACACGATTAGGCTAAGAATGGCTGTGAGATAAATTGGGAATAACTTGAGTATAGTAAATCATATAATAATAGTCAATAGGTCAAATAAAAGCTCATAATAAAAGGAAATTGAATATACATGTAATGGTTATACAATAAGAATACATATTACAACGGTCCGAAAATAGATCTCAGCAGTTATCATTCACTTAATCGTCATCCGACTATAACAATACTCTGTTTGTTGTATATGTAAATTCAGTGAACTAATCAGCGCAGAACAACTCATGTTTGTATTGATGGAATGAATTTAATAATAAATCTTAAAACCATTCGATAATGTAGCGAACAAGAACACAGCTGGGGACAATCGAATGTACTTAAAAACAAAATTACAGCACATTTTTGTAAAATCTGAGAATTTGCAAAATGCCAATCAATTGTCACAATTGATTGATCACTGGGTGGTGATCAATGTCATGCTTGTATAGTCCTTATTAGTGCAGATCGAATGCTATCGATCTAAACCAACCAATTGTCTCAAACTTGATTGTTCCTTCTACAAATATCAGTCAATCGTCTCAGACTTCATTGTTCCTACATTTTCATATCAATCTCTTTATGTTCCCGTTCTTTCCTTCTCGACCTTCTTCTGTCAGATATTCTAATCTTGAATATCATTACATACTACTCATGTTTATATAAGTAGCCCACATCACAATAATACTAAATTCCTGTCATATAAATTATGCAACCAGAATTCCTAGATTTCTAATCACAACATTATTATGACACAAATGAATTCACGATAGAGATTGAAGGTAAATTATATTTCTATGTAAGATATGCAATTATAACTAAATATTTAAGTGATAGTCGTCTGATTAACTGTCATTATTTCCAGGGATATTGCCAACTAATACGGGTACCTACATTAGAATTTTACAGTACCATACAAATGAGGTTGTTATTTTCTTATATAATCCCTTTAATATCTTATATGGATCTATCAGACAATTGAGCTTTCTAACAATTTTTAATGTAATTTATCAAAAGAATAGTAGACATTGACTTGTTCAGACCTTATTTTTTTGATTGGTCTCAACTAAGATTCTTGCGTTGTTCTTTTGTACTATTTAAACTTGGATTCATTTTGATTCGGTCATT